CTATAAGTTAAGGAGAAATGTCTCAGGAGAAACCAAGCCTGATGATACCTTGATCTTGGACTTCTAGCTCCCCAAACTGTGAGAAAATAAATTTCTGGTGTTTAAGTCACCCAGTCTGTGGGATTTTGCAATGGTAGTCCTAAAACAGTAACAAAATAATGACAGAAAATAAACTGCCACATTTATAGTTTGGCTAAATGATAGCAGATAAAAATTTATTTTATCACTAATATTAATTCATTAATTTTGTTAGAAAGCAAACAGTAAATAAGTTGTAGAAAGGTAACTGTACATTCTTATCATGTAAGATAGATCTACAGATAAGTGCATACATAGTAAATATCATAATATGAAACAAAAAGAATTGAGCATAATTTATTAAGAAATTTAACAGAAAATATGTTCAGAAATAATTAAAATCTGAATACAAATATGCCAATACTCTTCAGATTTTAGTCATCCTGAAAAAGAAAAAGGAGTCATTAGAGGAACTTTGATTTGTATGATACTTTTATTAAAGACCTGCCTACAAAATGTATTTCTTGACCAATTAAGGGTAATAATTTTCTTTCAAATTCAGAAGTATTAAAGTTACCTGTAAAAACAGTATCACTGCACACTTTATTCATTTTCTCTTTCACGATGAGCTTCTATTCTTTTAATAGCTATTTTGTGGACTGAATATAAAGGTGAATTTCTATAAATTTGGCAGCCACATTTTGGTATAATACTGGGAAATATAATGTTAAAATATCAGCACTATTCTGAGTTTTATGATGAATTAATTGGATAATCTAAAATAGTAATTAATGTACCAATACATTCTAAATGGGTCGCTCTGAGTTTATTTTTCAACTTATAAATATAAAAAAAATTAGGAAGAGAGTGCCAGAAAAGTGACTATATAAGAAACAAAAACCAGAGGCTTGAGTATGCAGTATGAAATATGACTGAAGGGACATGCTCTCATAGAACAAGAGTTAAAGTACTCACAATGGAGTTCTGAGTAGGTAGGTCATTACCAGAAGTAATATCAAAATTACATATCAAAATTATTTTGGATATGCCACTTCATTTCTCTCAGACTCAGTTTGCTTTCTTGAAAATTAAAGGGATTAGAAATGCTTTAAAACTGTGATTTAATAAGTTAGTGATTGAGAGTAAACTAATAAAAAAAAGGTGTTAGCTGAATTAGAACACTTTAATTTAAAAAAAACATCATAGAGGCTCATGTAAAGAGAACTAACAACATTCAGACTAAGGAACAATACCTTCATTTAAACTGACTTAAAATATTACTTTAGTTTTTGCTACGAAATTAATCATTACCTAAATAATTATGCTCTCAGAATTGGAGAGATAAAGGGGCCTTGTGGGTATAATCATCCCTGTATTAACAAGTATGAAAAATTATCTAGTACAGAGTCTAGAACTTTGGAGGCGCCCATTAAATGGAGCTATTATATCTATTTGTTTTGGCTTAAAACTTAAGTCATTATAATTTGGAATCCTTATTTATTACTTTCTAGTATTATTTTCCCCCTCATAGCATCATGTAATCAGGTGATTCAGTAATCATTCCTTCTACATGAAAATTAGTAATAAAAGGAACATGGGCCAGATTATAAGACTATGGAATTCAACTAGAAATCTGCTTTCAACATGAAACAAATTATAATAAAATAGAGTTAGTAATATTCAGAAAATTAATCATGTATTTCAAATGTACCAAATGATGCTAAAATCTAGACCATATTTTATTCATAACAACATCACGAAAAATTTGATTAATTTTTTTAATAAAAGTAAACAATTTAGAACTATTTTGATATTAACAAAATAAAAAGCTTTGCAGAATTTCACTTTCACTTTTTATAAGATACAAAAGAACAGGTAAAAATTCATAAGCAGTTTTACTTTTTCAGTGATTTATGGAAATCGCTAACCATAGTGGTAATTTAGATTTTACTAACAAAAATTAATTGTAAGGTATAAATAGGCAAAATAAATTACTATCTATGTAACTTTTCTTGTTGATGATATAATTATATTATCATCTATGCTTTTGCTATAAAACTCAAAGGACTAAATTTATTATCCCTTTATAGGCTGCTCTCCTCAAGCTAGCAAAAGGAAGTCATTGTCAGACTCATTCACCTAATTTAGCATCAATCAGAAAACAATCTATGATTGCCAGGCCTTGGGTAGATGGGTTAGGGTATTTCACAGTTTTCTCTAGTTATCTGTCTTAAGTTTGGTCTTCTGAGGAAGGCAAACTTCTAAGCATTGTATATTATGAATGGGTAATGGATACCGAAGTGGATCCAAGATCTGATGCTAGCAAAGAACTTACTATGAACCATCTTTTCTCCAGCTTACCATGTAGACAGAGCAGGGCCATACCAGGTTATCTAATTATGAAACACATAATAGATTTATTTTTGAATTCTTGGAGCCTTAAATTATATTAACAGGTACTATAAGGGACTGTTGAAGAGGACAGTCTAGGGAGTTAGACTGCTTAGGTGTAAATTCTGCTTTGTCATTTCCCAGCTGTCAAATAGACACATAACGTATATTTAGTTCCTTTGTTTGTAAAATAAGAAAGTAACAATAAATTGCTCGCTGAAATTACTGAGTGCTTAAATGATAAATATTATTTTAAAAGGGCTGGTACAATGCCAGAAAAAATTACAATGACTAGGTACATAAAACAAAAACAAAAAACTATTTTCCTCATCTATCCACTGGCAGTGGGAAAAGAGAAGGAGCTGAATATCCAACCTGAGTTAAACTATGGAAGTGTAATGGCATTCTGCACCACTAATGCCACACACAAAATCTCTCTCTCTGGTACCAGTGACAGTTACTTTCAAAGAACAGCTGAAAATAAGGGACAAAGCCATACAAGGTGGCTCTTTTTACCAATGTTCAATTTGGCATTTTTAGGTCTAATTCTTATGCTCTCCTTTATGAAGTCATTGTATAATTACTAAATAGTAAAACTATAAGTTAAGTGTTTGCATATTGAGGTAGAGAGAGGGGATACTTTTATGAGGTTCAGGGTACTTTTTAGCAAATATGGGACTGGGTGATGGAGAAATAGGGAGTTCAGAATGTTCAAGCATTCATAGTACTTTTGACAACATAGTATCACAAAGAAAATTCCAGTCTTGAGACAGGGCCTCAGAATAGCTATGAATTTTCTTCCAATGTTTCCCCAACCATGTTTCAACAGCATATTTTATGCTAATTCTTATTACAAAAAAGTAGAAACAGCATTGATTCAAAAAAAGAAAAATTTGAGGTATCAGCTTTCCTATTAAATACCAACTTATGAGATTTAAAAAAAAACCTTAAAGATTCCAACTGAAAACAAATAAAATTATATAAAATTAGGGATATAGCATTGTTAGCATACCTGTTCACTAACCTAATTTTGAAATAAGGTAACATGTTTCCCAAAACGTATAGTTACAGAAACCTGCATGATAAAAAGAAAACTCACAAATAATGTGAAAAGAAACCAAGAATGCTATCAAAAAACTATTCTTCCCTTAATGTTCTCAGCTGTAACAAATTTGTTACTGAAGTCTTTCAAATAGGCAAAACTCAAATATTCCAAGTTAAAACACAGGAAAAAATGGGAATCTGGTTTATATACTTAAAAAAAAGTAAATATAACCTCCAGAACTAAAAACCAGACAGAGAAACTGAACAAATTCAATTATGCACCAAAGTTCCATTCATGTAAGATAAAATCCATAGGTAATTTAATTCTAAAAATTATTTAGTAAAATGTCTCTAGAAAAACCTTTTTAAATTTTTACATTATGTAATAATAAAACATCCTCTAATGCATTCTTAAGATAGAATTTCCTAAAAAGGAAATCTGTTAAAAGGTATTATGCAACAGTGCTAGCACATAATTAAAGTGAATTATCTATTACCAACAGATTCATGAAAAGTACGAAGAGGTAAATAATTTATTCCCCTTTGCCCAAGAATAAACCACCTTATTTAGAAAATGACCAGAGGGCTAATAGTCAGCCACCGTTACTATGACTAAACAGGGTTCAATTTATAACATGCAGATAACATGGGTGTTATCTCTAAGAATTTTTAAAATTTAAACATGTAGTAAACATTATCAGTTGAGGAAAAGCAAAGCTATTACAGCTGCCTAGAAATTCCTCTAATTTAACTAAATCCAAAGAATATTAGTAGAGATCTTGGTGGGGGAAAATATATAATAATTGTATAATACCTTTATTTAAAATCAAAGATCAAATTTATGACCTATTTCTACAACTGTTTTTGAGGACTTTAAAACTCTCCAGAAAACATTAAAATTTTTGTGACCAAAAACCTCTAATTTTACTATGTCCTCCTAAATTTCATGGTATATTTTTTCCCCTCAGTTGAAAATTTTGAGAACTTTAGACTGAGTAATTTATTTCAAAGTATATCTACAAAAACAATCAAAAGGGGTAATACAAATACTTTTACTTGTAGTGGGGGAAGGGTAGAGGGGCACTAGAAAATTCTCATTTAAGATTATAGGCTAAAAGAGTCAATCTTTAGAAACAATTTCCTTGAAATTTAGGGACTTGAAAATGTGAGGGAGATGTTATAAAGGCAGAACAAAATACCAATGAAACCATGAGGAAAAACTACTTCAAAACTTAACTCAAGAGTATAAAATCATGCTACTTATGGCATAAATTGAACCCTGCTTTATTTTAAAATAAAGCAAAAATAAAAATTATCAGAATAATTCACACTGTGAGAGAAAGAACTGTAGCCCCAATTTAACTGATTTTTTAAAAATAATTATTGCCCAAATGAGTTTAGAAGACACACAGCCCAAGAGATTATTATTTTGAATAGGAATAACAATTAATATATACAAAATGCAATGTATTGGATAATTTTCAGCTGCTGGGTTAGCATTGCATATAGCAAGGATTAGAAACAAAATAGAAATTTCTATTTCCTACCTATATCACTGGCTACCATCTTGGAAAACTTTCTGCTTTTGGTCTTCACTGAAAATAATATTTTGATATAAAATGTCAAAATCTACTCAAATTAAACTAAATGAATTAAACTTAAGTAAAAGAAAAGACTTAAAATAAAGATACTATACCCTTTTCTATAAAATTATTCATTTTTTGTTCTTCATCTGAATTGTGTGGTGATGAAGAACCTACACAAATAAAGACAATGGAAGGAACAGGCACATAGTCACAAACACTGAGTTGCACAAGAGAAAAGCACAAATGAAAAAACCTAGCCATCTCTAAAACAAGCTTTTATGTCCATTATCACAGAAGGAGGACATTTATACAGTTAACTAGTCTGATAATACACTACAGCAATCAGTAGTGCAAAATGTTTCATGGTAGGCCGTGTATATGTAAATATTAACTCTATAATCATTTTTCATTCAGTAACAACAATTTGGCAAAAATCTTGATTTTAAAGAATATATAAAGAAAGTATCACTTTTACAGACGTATTTTTTAATAGGCACATCTCAAATGATACCTCACCAATTAAAATTTTCACAATTTCCCCAGTTTTAAATCACTTTCCCTTTTCTGAATTCCCATAATTCTTTATCTACACATTTTTATATGATATTAATCATTTAACATCTTATATTTTAAATTTACAAACATAAGACCTTCACTGAAGTGAAGTTTTAAAAACAAGGCCCATATCTGACTCACTTTTGCAACCCCTTTGTCATCAATGGAGTGTTTTTCAATTAGGTATCTCTAAGTAAATATTTGCTGAATGAATGGAAAACAATTAAAGGTAAATATATAGGTATCCTTCTGTGGCTTAAAATCATTCCCAGTAAAAGTTGTGAATCGTAATGAATTAGGCCAAAATTTGACATCTGCCATTCCTCTTTTCCAAAACATACTTCCCTCCTTTGGCCAGGTGGCAAATATCCTTGACATTCTCTGCCCATGTAAACCTGCTAATACTGGCAGGACCCAATGACTTCTATAAGAGTTGTAAACATTATTTTTGGTAAATAGCATTTCTAAATCCTCGTATATTCCTTATAAAAAAATACCACAAGTAACATTGAGCTCAGTGTCATTGTTAGGAACAGAAATAGGAATAGCTGTTTTTCACATACATATCATTCATATTTAAAGCGTATAAGTGTCATGGTATATTACTTATATTTTAAAATAATATTGTCATCTCTTATCTCTTATACCAAATAGCAACATGAATTTACAAACAATGTACTATTAATACTAGTTTTATTTGATACAAATAATTCACATGTAATAGCAGGATAACAACTATATATGATAATTAAAATGTTTGATTTTTAAAAACATAAACAGGCAACATAGGCTTGAAATATAAATAAGACAAGCAGATTTAATTTTTTCCTTAAGTAAAAATGCCTACTACTGAATGTCATAACCCTATGATAGCTTATTAAAGTTCCAAAATGGTATTCACTATATCCTACTTGAACAAATTTATTATAATTAAATACAAACACACAACAATATCTACAGCTTGTTTTTTCTGTGGCACACAAAAACTTCTCAAGGCACCATTTCATATCATGGTACATGTGGCCCTTCAGTTGAAAATAACCTAACATTAAAAAAAAAAAAAGATAATGTGATTTATGTATACACACACACACACACACACACACACATTCCCCTGCACACGTTAACATCTACACACAGGTTAATACATTTCAAAGAAAAAAAATCTATCAATACTAACGTGCTAAGTGAAACAATCTGAATTCTTTGAAATAAAGAACAAATTAAGTCCATTACCTTTATTTGCTCAGGGTGTATATGTTTCTTAAGCAGAATTAATTTTCTATTTCAGAGAGACCACTGTTTATTTTTTAAAAATGAAAAAGTAAACTATATTTTTTACTTATACTTTCTCATGATGTTATGAAGAGAGTTTTCATACTGATTAACTAAACACTTAAAATCACAAACCCTGATTATGGGATTTAAAAGCCTTAAAAATGTCTTTCTTCATTTATATGATTTAATTTTAAGTAAACCCATTGTTTTTGATAAAATGCACTATGGCTACTCTACATTTCCACCATACTCGTCCTTCTCTGAGTATTTATGAAAGACTTATTTTAACTTACAAACCTTTTATACATTTCTTCCTTTTCTATAAATACCTTAAAATTAATATTGGTTTTAACAATTTATAAAACATCATTTAACTATTTTATTCATTTATATCTTATCTCACTGTGAAAAGTATTTGAGACTGGTAATTTAATTTCTAATTTTCAGCTCAGTATTGTTTTTTTTTCCGTTTTCAGTATGAGGGATTGAACCTAGGGAATTTTTACCACTGAGCCACATCCCAGCCCTTTTAATTTATTTTTTTCTAGAGACAGAATCTCATTAAGTTGCTGAGGCTAGCCCTGAACTTGGGATCCTCTTGCCTTTGCCTCCCAATTTGCTGACCATGCCCAGCTTAATTTTCATGTTTCTAATACCATGACATTCTAGTAGCTCTTTTGATTGACCTCATGGGCCAGTAGAGATAGTCTGTAACAAGGGAAAATATAGTGTCAAAAAAATGGCTTGGCCGAATCTCATTCTGGTTTCTATTCTATTGTATAGAATTCTATAACTGATATCTGAAACATGTTTCAGGCTCAATTACTGCCGATGAAAGATTAACTTTTTGAAAACCAATCTTTCCTTATATGTAGGAATGAATATAATCCATTCTTATATATTTTAGAACACAACCAAAGATTAAAATAAATAAATTAAGGCTTCTATATCTAAGGGTAAGCATTCATTACTTATCAATGATTTTTTAAGGTTGCATTTCAAACTACACAATATTTAAATATTTAAGGTCATATGAATTTCTACATGTTAAAATTATAGTCTTTTCACATGGACCAAACCACGTTTGAATTTCTCTGGTTAGAGGAAAAGAGAAGTTAGAGACTTTTTACTTTTATGCACTTTTTACATTTATATACTTAAATTTCCTTACACATTAATCTATAATTATTCCTTGTTTGGTTATTCTAGACTGCTAGATGTACCTACTGTTTGAAAGTGTGGCTTAGGACAAAAAGGAATATTAATTTATTTGAGCTGAATTTTGACCACACAATTTTGATGATTGTTTAATATATTTAAATGTAACACATTATTTATATGTTACATATCCAAATTATCCACTTTTGATTTATATCTTTAATATTGTGACAATGGTATTTACACAGGCTTTGGAGAAGGTGAGAAAATTAGAACTATGCTGCATGTAGTTGAATGAAGAAGAGCAGTGATGAAAATATTATACTTCTAATTTCCAAATTAAAAAAAAAAACTCTATGAGATAGAAACAATTACCCACTTCATAGTATTCATCTTAACTTTATTCTACTAAGGTTAAGACTTAATATTGGGTACCAATGTGATTCCTACGGATGTATATGTTTTATCAGTTTAATGAGTAAATATAAATACACAGTTTAAGGAATAAAAATGTATGAACACATTTTAATTTTAAAAAATAAATGATCAACTTGTGCAAAATCAGGAAAATGTAATTATAAAAATGAAATAAAGTTTTTACAGTCTTAGATCTAATAAAGAGCTAAACTGAAATGTGGGGGAGTAAAGTAAGATATCCTTCTCAATATTTCCCATTCTTACAATTATATCCAATGTAATAGAACCAGTTACAGAAGGATAAAAACTTGTCTGAAAACAGTTACTTATATTAAGATCAATCTTTCCAGTAGAACACCAATGAAAATTTCCACCCAGAATAATTAAATCACTGAGCAGTTAAAATTAAGAAGTCAACTTTATCAAAGATTAGCAGTTTCAATACACTAAAATAAAATAACAAATTCAAGATATCTTTAATCTTAAGGGACCTCAAAATATACTAAAAATAATGTTCCTTAGAAATATTAATATACACAAAGGTCACATAAAGACCCATTTGTAGATAAGAAATGTGAACTGCTTTAATAAAACTGTAAATAGTTCAGAAGTTACGTTGGTCAAAAACAAAATCAAATCTAGTTTACAATTATTCTAATCATTCACAGTCATCACTAATTTTAAGTATCAAAAGTCTTTGATAATATTTAGGAATGGGCATGTAGCTCAATTGACAGAGTGCTTGTCTAGCATGTACAAGACCTTGGGTTTGATCCTCAGCACTGCAAAAACAAGAAAAACAAAAAGCAAAACACGCACACCCAACAACAACAACAAAAACAACAACACTTTTCATTACATTTAAATGGATATTATTCAAGGAATCCAGAGAAGCATATTACATTATTAATTTTTCATTGATTATTCTCTGTTCTTCAAAATAATGCCAAAAGTGCCTAGAGGCACCAAATATATATATCTTATCTTTCTCTAAAAGTATAATAGAAGGTAAAAACTATGGATATTATATGGTAGTATTTGTATTTCTTTTTACTTAATCAGAATGCAAAGAATAGTTATGATTTTTAGAATACATGACTAGTATCTTTTAGGTATATTTTTAAATATTTATCTATAAAACAATACACTGATATATTGTCTTACTTTATATAAAATCATAATTATTAATACAATAAAAAGACAAATTACCAGAAGTTGGAGATTTGCAGCGATCCTCTGGGACTACAATCCCTTCATTAATATCACATAGACCTGCTAAAAAAAGAAATCACACCACAAATTTATATAAGTAGGTTTGTCATCTATTTATAGGATAGATTTCACTATCTATTGAAAAGAACTTGGTAGTACGATTAACAGATTATCAGTAGTGATACTATGCTTATAAAGTTTCAGATAGAAACATTTTGATATAACTTATCTCAAAATAATATAATAGCCTTCAATTAAACAAATAAAAATATAGTTTTTTTTTTGTAAACAGAGTTTCCAATTGAGATAATCTGATATTCTTAAAGGACAGTAGACATAATGCAAGGCTTTCTTTAAAATCTGAGATGTGGGAGCATATAATATAATTCTTTTTTAATTCCTCAAGGGAGAATATATACATATCAAATAAGTTTGATAATTTTTACATCGTAAGGACCCTCAAACCTAAATATGGTTTCCACTAGGTATATCTTAAACACTTTATTTAAATATTTCTGAATGATAAGAAAATATATCTCTAAATTTGCTATATTAAAAATATTGCACATTACTTATCTTGAAGAGAAAATCTCTTAAAAACTGTAACATCAGCTTTTAAAAACCTTTAACAAAATACTTTCTTTTCAGATATATATAAACTTTACAGGTCATCTATTTTATAGAATGGCTTAAATTCTTAGTAGAAAGTTTAGCAAGGTATTTTATGCTATAGACAAGAACTATTCTGTACCCTTAGTCTACCGGTCTATTTTGGTACCAATACCATACCATTTTTGTTACTATTGCTCTGTAGTATAGTTTAAGGTCGAGTATACTCATGCTGCCTGCTTCACTCTTCCTGATAAGGTTTGCTTTAGCTATTCTAGGTCTCTTAGTTTTCCAGATGAATTTCATGATTGCTTTTTCTACTTCTATGAGAAATGTGATTGGGATTTTGATCGGAATTGCATTAAATCTGTATAGTACTTTTGGAAGTATGGTCATTTTGATTATATTAATCTGCCTATCCAAGAGCAAGGTAGATCTTTCCATCTTCTAAGGTCTCTTAGATTTCTTTATTTTAGGGTTCTGTAATTTTTGTTATATAGATCTTCACCTCTTTCATTAAGTGGATTCCCAAGTATTTTTTGTTGAGGCTATTGTAAATGAAAAAATGTTCATCATCACTAGCAATTAGACAAATGCAAATCAAAACTACTTTAAGATTTCATTTTACTCCAGTCAGAACGGCAGCTATTATGAAGACAACAATAGTGCTGGTGAGGATGTGTGGAAAAAGGTACACTCATACACTGCTGGTGGGACTGCAAATTGGTACAACCAATATGGAAAGCAGTATGGAGATTTCTTGGAAATTGGATATGGAACCACCATTTGACCCAGCTATCTTCCTTGGTCTATACCCAAAGGATTAAAAACAGCATACTACAGGGACACAGCCACATCGATGATTATAGCAGCACAATTCACAATAGCTAAACTGTGGAACCAACCTAGATGCCCTTCAATAGATGAATGGATAACAAAAATGTGGAATAAATACACAATGGAATATTACTCGGCAATAAAAGAGAATAAAATCATGGCATTTGCAGGTAAATGGATGGAGTTAGAGAAGATAATGCTAAGTGAAGTTAGCCAAACCCAAAAAACCAAATGCCAAATGTTTTCTTTGATATAAGGAGGCTGATTCATAGTGGGGTAGGGAGAAGGAGCATGGGAAGAATAGACAAACTCTACATAGGGCAGAGGGGTTAGACGGGAAGAGAGGGGGCAGGGGGTTAGAAATGATGGTGGAATGTGATGGACATTATTATCCAAAGAACATGTATGAAGACACGAATTGGTGTGAACATACTTTGTATATAACCAGAGATATGAAAAATTGTGCTCTATATGTATAATAAGAACTGTAATGCATTCCACTGTCATATATAAATAAAAATAATAATAAAAAAGATAAGAACTAAAAGGTATGGTAAAATACAAGATAAAAAAGAAGTACGAACTTGTCTCATGACTGAAATGAAAAAAAATTCCAGCAAATCGTTTAAAAATTACTTATATATGAAAACATATCAGGAGTTTGGAGGAGCTGGGCAAGAGAAAAGGGGCTTCATTAGGCCACAGAAGTTGGGTGTCACATCAACCCATGGATATGTATAACTCGTATATTTCACATTACTTTGGTAAAAGACGTGAGGTTATAATCTCTATGGTCTCTTAAAAAAATGTTTAGGGCAACATTTTCATAGAATACCAAGTTCTGAATTGGGTTTATAACAAGTGTTTTCCAGTCTGAATTATATATTATTTGTTTTCATTAGGTACTCAAGTTCTGGAATGAGAATCAATGAATCGGTAGTACATTTTTTTTTTCTTTTTTAAAAACAGTCTTTTCAAACTAATAGTTTTATTTTTTTTTGGGGGGGGGGGAAACCCTAGTTCTTACAGTTTTAAAATGATACATGTTGCCAGGATCCTCACGACTAAAACACTCAGGGGTCACTCCAGGGGAACTGGGGTGCACGAAATAACCACAGGAGAGAACGGAAATACCTTTTTCTTTGGAGTTCCTGTGATGGCTCCTCTGACCTTAAGTGTCCGCAGAAAGAGACAGCCCGCATGAGCTGACCCTTTTTATTGAGGAGAAACCATTCAAATGAGGCAAGGGATCAAGTTTCAAGGGGCTGAGTCTAGCTTCATGATGTCTGCTGTCAGCAGGGTGACTGACATCTAGGAAGGTCACACCCAAGTGCAGAGGAAGAGAAGGGGACACACAAAGGGTGTTTCCATGGAAAATTCTATCCTAAACAGGGCAAGGGGTAATATTACAAAGGATCAGGTGAGCATAGCTCAACTCATGGGGAAGGCACGCCCATGCACGAAGACACAGTTGCTGGAACCTAAAGATTGGGCTACTGTCTGGGTTAAATAGGCAACCAGATCACAGAGTGAGGGAGGATGCCACACCAATCAGAAGAGGAGATAAACAGGGTCACATGCTAGCCGGCCTCCCACAACATGTAATAGATTTCACTTAATATTTGATAAAATAGTTTGCTTATCTAATCTTTTTTTTGAAAGAACACTTAAGATAGCAGGTATCTAAACAGTAGTGATAATATACTCTGTAGTGACTACAATGTACCTAGGAATTAATATTCAAAAATAATACAGAAAATTTTTGTCAATAATACACTATATGTACTATATAAATCATATGAAATACTACAAAATGTACCATATGATATGGTTATCATTCTTAAAATCATCCAAGAAGAAACATTTAGGAAGCTGTATTTAATGGTCATTGTAATAAATAAAGGAATTTTTAATCTGAGGTAACCAGATAAAACTCAGACTTAATTTAAATATAAAATGTATTACAATGACCATTAAATCAGTTAAAAACCCCATTCAATGCCTTCTATCTCACTAAGAATAAAAGTCAAAGTCCAACTGTATATGGCCAGTTTATGTAAACAATCCCATGGTGTATGATATCCTCTTATTTCTCTGATGTTATTTTCTGTCCCCCTTCACCTACTTTCCCATCACTCTTACTCTCTCTACTTCTACATACCAAGTCCACATTGTCCTTTGAATTCCACATATATACAACTTCAGAGCAATTTCTATTTGCTGTACATTTTAAATCTTCATTCCAAAGTTACCCAGTAACTCATCTTAAATTTAATACCCTCATCTATTTCAAATCTCCATTCCTTTATTTATTTTCCCCTTGGCATTATTATGTAACCTACTACATACTACTTATCTTCTTATTGCTGCATTTTTCACTAGGATGCGAGTTCCTCGAGGACAGAGGATTTTGTTTGTTTTATTTTCTATAATGGTGCATGGTACATGGTAGGTACTCAAATGTCATTAAATAATTGAGTGAATACATGTAAAAGAATTTCACAGTATATAATTTAAATCAACTACTCTGTTACTGACAGGATGCTTTTAACAAACATTCCTACTAGTAGTTTTCAAAATGTACAGCAGCCCCCTTAGCTAGCTGTTCATATCCAGCACTGGCTGATCACTTACTACATGGCAGATTCTTTTCTAAGTTCTTAACTCATTTAACCCTTCCAGAAATCAATAAGGAAGAGAGTGTTACCCTCATTTTACATAAGAAAAAGCTGAAGCACTGAGTGTTTAAGGTATCTAACATAGGGATGAAAACTTAGATACTAAGACTCGAAGTATTAATTTTAAATATTCTACAGTCTCATTTTAGTGTATTCAGTAGTTTTGTCACATTGGCACACATTAAGTTGTATTCAGTAGATGTAAAACAACCACTTGAGCGTGAACAATGTTACAGTCACAAGATTAGATACATGATCTATGCCACTTCATTATATTAAATTTATAAGACAGTGATTCATCTCTATTTTACAACTGAGGACACAGAGCCTCAGAAGTATCTTTTCTAGTATCTTACACTTAAAACGAGGACTCAGATTTACATTCAGCTTTGCCTAACTAAACTAAAAAAAAATCTTCAACTATTTATCCTTCAGCTAGTTTTCTCTGTTCTGTACATATACAATCAATTTTAATATATTACACAATGTTCTTAATATTTATTTACTGATAAATTTCATTTCTTTGGTTTAAGTTTACTGTTTCTACCTATAAATAACTTTTTGAATCCATTCTGCCATCAAATTCAAGAGTTACCCTTTAAATAGTAGTAAGCACATCTCTTTCAAATGTTCAGATAGGAACCTTGACTTACTATTTATAAAATTCAATTATCAAGTATTATTCAACATAATGTATTTATTATCTGAGACACACACACACACACACACACACACACACACAACAAAGTTAATGTTAGACCACAAACTGACCCAGTAGATTATTTAACCTGAGGGCGATGGCAAGCATTTTCTATAAATATGCAGACAGTAAATAGTTTAGGCTTTTCAATCTAAAATCTCTATTGAAACTACTCAGCTCTAATGCTGTAGCCCAAATAGCCACAGATAACACATAAATTAACATGGCTCTGTTCCAATAAAACTATATTTAAAATCTCAGGCAGTGTGTCAGATTTGTCCTGCAGATAGTATTTTGCTGACTCATGGTATAATCAGTCTTGGAATTGTGTACAAGGTATTTACCACCTGTTTGATTCATAAACGTATCACAGAATTTCTTATCAAATACTTAACTTCAGGAACTATTATGTCGACAAGCTGCCATAGCCATTAATGTAATTTACCAGATTTAAAAAAAAGTGATTTTGCTACAACTTACTTTTAGTGAATGTCTGCTGATTTTTATTGATCACCTCTACTTTTAATATGTATACAAGGTGTCAGTTACATAGCAGCTTATGCTAGCATTCTGATATATTTGTAAATCAAATTAACTGATTTATAAAAATATACACAGTTGAGGGTATATTTCAAATTCATGATTTTCCTTGATATCCTTTTAGTATTGCTTAGTCTGTCTTACTTACATAAAGTAGATTAGGCTTTAATTTCTGTTAGTGTTCATATTTTCAAAAAAGTATAATTTATTTTAGCAGGGAGCTGTGAAACAAAGTTATTTAGTTCAACCTTTTTTTTTTAAGTTTACTTCAGTTCTTATTTATCATTTTATTTGTTCTTTTTAGATATACATGACAGTAGAATATATTTTTTGACATATTATATATACATGGAGTATAATTTATTCTAATTAGGATCCCATTCTTGGGTTGTACATGATGTGGAGATTCACTGGTGAGGTATTCATATATGAACACAGGAAAATTATGGCCAGTTCATTTTTTTTAATCACCATTTAAAGTCATCCCTAAATCATAGTTCTAATCTTTCCATCACCATGTTTTTATTTGAACAATGTTTTGTTATATTTCCCATTATTTGGAAATCAGTCTTATAATTTGAGACAAAACTTACTAATCTGTCCAATATTTTATACATTATTGGATGTGTCCCTTATTTCATGTATACATACACATAACAGAAGTCCCTCTTTACCCACTTTCTAGGGTATCAGTTACTTGTGGTCAATTGAAATCTGAAAAATTACATGAAAAATTCTAAAATACCTCATAAATTTTAAAAGAGGTGCTGTTAGAGGAGCATAATGAAATATTACACTGTCCTGCCCAGATTTTTGTGAATCATTATGCCAGAATAATATATATGCTATCTGCTAGTCAGTCACTTCACAGCTCTCTCTGCTATCATATTTGCTACCTCAGTGTCACTATACTTGTGGCCAAATAATTTGCAAGAATAGTGATTCCAATTTGCCAAAGAAAAGCCACAAAGTGTTTAAGTATATATTATCACAAGAAAAAGGATGAGAAAATACAATAAGGTATTTTGAACGAAAGCATATACACATAACAATCCAGTATATTGTTAGAGTCATTTCTTTAAGTATTAGTTATTGATAATCTCTTTCCATGCCTAATTTCTAAATTGAACTTCATCACAGATGAACAACCCATGGTTTGAGGTATCCTTCAGGGATTTTGGAATGTGTCATTGGCAGATAAGTGGGACCACTGTGTATTTTTTCATTCTCTCTCTCTCTCATACAAACACACACATACACACACACACACACAGAGAGAGAGAGAGAGAGAGAGAGAGAGAGAGAGAGAGAGAGAGAGAGAGAATTTTTAAGCAGTAGTACTGGGCACTATAGCTATTTCTCCTATTCTATCTTATTAAAAATACTGAAGACTTGAAAATAATTGCAACTAACAAAAACAAAACAACAAAAACCCTTTAGTTTTAGAGACTTCTACCTACAGATTTTGAAAAAGTTATTTGCAAAATACAGATACAGATTTTTGTTTCTAAGATAATTGACTTCAGAGAGTAAGACCAAACACTTCTCCCCAAGTGTCTATCACTTCCACCTTATTAAATAGATTTGATTTGGACTAAAGAAACATATTCAGAAGGAAAATTTCCCTAGTGTCCTTCAGTTTCTGAATGGTAAAGTGAGCAATTAAAGAAGACAAATATAAACCTATTTTCCAGTTTTAGTAGAATCAGAATTTTAGCAGACATATAAGTAACTGAAATATATAAATTTTTCCTATGTCTGTTTTATAATTTCTACCATGAAAACACAGTTGATATTTTAGTCAGTAGTTCAACTGTATTGTATTATAGCTATAACACATTCAAACTTAAGTAGTAATGTTTTGTCTTATAAAATAAATTCACTGACACTAGATTCCTAATGAAAATACAGCAGTACATATTAGCAACAAAAAGTGTCTTCAACCAGATCTATTAAAAATAGATTGAAGGGTAGCTGTGGTGCTTGTAATCCTAACTACCTGGAAGAGTGAGCCAGAAGATTGCAAGTTAAAGGCCAGCCTCTGCAAATAATAAGAGATTCTGTTTTAAAATAAAATTTAAAAAATTATAAGGGTTGGGGATGGGTTCAGTGGTAAAGTGTCCCTGGGTTCAATCCCAGTGCCAAAAATAAATAAATGACTATCACAAAATTAAAAAAAATAGATTGAAAAACAATTTGATGCCACTTTGGCTAAACCTCAAGAAATATTAAGCTACATTTAATAAGAATGTTATTTTTCTAATATCAGTGCAAAGAATATTAGTACAAATTACTCTATAGTTAACTTTATTTGAAAAATAAATAAAAACCTTTTGGAATTAGGGGTACAAATATCTTATAATGTTATTTAAATCTTATTTTGAAATAATTCTTTAAGTCTTTATTAAAAAACCCTAATTATGGATAAAATGGGGTACAATAAAAATGGGTAAATGTCTTAAAATTAATAAGGAAAAACTCAAATAGTTTTCCTATTCCTAACACCAAATTGAATTTGAAATAAAGCAAATAATAAGTAATATTATGGAGTTTACTAGAGAATAAAGCAGAATGTTGTAAAATTTAACAATATTTAATTGCAGGGTGAAAGTGTTATTCTTAAATCAATTTAGGGTTAATTATCAGTAATTTTATCTAAACTACTATAGGGTCTAAAGAACAAAAGAAATTAATTTTAGGACTAGTAAAATTTTTATCTGAGATTTATAAAGAATTATAATTTATAAATTAAAGAATTATAATTTATAAATTAAAGTTTTTATCTTCCAGAAAAACTTCTGTGATGGCAATGTTCTAACCTTGTAACATTTAATATTATTTTCTCTGTTTTGTCCATTGGATTTAAACATAGCATTTAAATAGCTGTTTTCATATTTTATTGAAGTGAACTAAGTAATAAATACAGTGCTTTTGATAAAAAATGTTTTAAGAGACTCTTAAAAATAAATGAATTTAAAACAAACAAAAACGATTTTACAAAGAACAGACATGCCAAGACAAATAACTTACTTAAAAAAGAAGAACGGAGCTTTTTCACAGACTCAGAATATAAGCTAGAAACACCGCACATGCAAGAAGTCACAATCAGCATACCTTAATGAAGCAAGAAAAAAGGGAAGGGGGAAAAAAAAGGAGACAGAGATACTAGAATGGCATGGTTTAAACAGCAATCTCTGCTGAAGATTTTACATGACAAAATGATTGCACTCAGAAACGTGGAATAAAAAAAAAAAAACAAAACACAAAACTTAAAAAGAGAAATTCAACCATCAAGCTAAAATGATAGAAAGTCTATATCCCTCACCTCTGCCCCTTTTTTATACACAGTAAAATTGGCAATTTTAGCTGAATCATGTAATGAGAACAAATAAAAAAAATCAGGGAGAGCTTTATTTATTATTTTATTTTTAAATTTTTATGTTGATGGAGATTAAGCCTAGGCAAGTGTTCTACCTGGAGTTATACCACTAGCTCAGGGAGAATTTGAATTCAAGATTGAGTTAGGAAGTAAAGACCAGAATTTCTCAAATTGTACTCCAATGCATAGAGGTATTCTGCAAATGAGTAAACATGCCTCAAAAAGAATTCTTCTCAATCCCTGGTCTTGTAGACAGGCCTAGAATAATCTGAAGCCCACAGGCCAATTATTGCTGAAAGTCTCAACAGTATATCCTGTGTACCATATATTGAATGCCATTTACTGTGTGTTATGAAGTTAAAAAAAGCAAGAAATACTGACTAGTTAACTATACATATGTTCTATGAGACATTAGTGTCAAAAATCTACAAAGCACAAAAAAATGCTATAAAGAATTCTAAACAAATCTGGACTTGTACTAAATCAAGATTATTTGAGAATTTTCTGTTTTTTAGAATTCAAATCACTTTTGAATCCATCTATTTTTTTTTTTTCACATGAAAAGGATTCCTTTCAATTAAATAAGTAAAACAATAAATTACTACTCAAACAGAGACCAAACAACAAAAGGGACAAAATTTCAAAATTAATTTTTTTCCTACAATAATGAGACAAATATTTCTGTTATTATAATCTAGTGGAAGAAGTCGGTAATTCTTTTGCAACATTAAATAAAATAAATAAATAAATAAAATCCTAGCACATTAAAAGCAAAAGCAAAACCTAATGACAATACAAAACAAAAGTAGCACTGATGTCTTTTTATACAGATAATCTAAATCAGATAAACTACATACCTCAGAGAAGTGGTTCTATTTACAAAAGTAAGCCAACATTTACACAAATCCTAAAGCTAGGACTTTTTTCTTTTTTTCTTTTACCTCCTGAAGGTTGTCGAGATTTACGAGGAGATCGAGGTTCTCTCCGATAAGGATCATTAGAGCCATATAATTCTATGGTGCCCAGATTGAGCAGTACTGCTTTCTGGAGGTAGTCAATCATAGCAATGCCATTACAGTTGCCAAAAACCACCCTGGAAATAGAAAAAGAGTAAACATTTTAGCACAAAAAATTACTTACAATAAAACGTACTGTGGTCTATAAGGCTGAAGAAGGAAGAATAATGGGTCTTTCAGAAAATTCTTCTTTGAAACAAAAGAAAGCTGTGGGTATAGAAATACAGGTTACATGTGCCTTCTCTTGAAATTGTTCATATCTTCTGTAGACATTCATCATCCAATATCATTAGATCAATTATCAACATCATTTATGAAAAATATCTGGCACAAGAGTTGAAATTTATTCAGAGATACAAACTTCCCATATGAGGCAATGTTAACACCTATTTTTTTTTTTTTTGCCTTGAGAGTATTCTGAAGCCCTTAGAGGAGACATCTCCTTCTCCTAGGAAAGCAGGGGACTTCACAGTGGGTAAAAAGTTTTGGTAATTCTCTGTAGTCAAGAATAAAAAACAAATAGCATTAAGTCTTAGAAGACTCCCTCTCAGGGTGTTCAAAATGCTTTCTCAATTATGTCAATAACTACAAACCAATCAACTATGTATAAAGGATCATTATTTTTTTTAAGATATCTTAAGTCAGAAGTTGAAAGCTGTCATAGTTACATAAGTAGCATAAGAGGATGGGTAAATCCATGGTGACTGAAGACTATATGATGCACCTAAAGAAAAAAAAACTCCAACTTGAGTCAATTGACTAATGTTGTGCGTGAGTGTACACAGTGGCCAGATAATTAGACTTCTCAGTTGAAGTTTTAAATATGGATTTACAAATTATACAGGCTTGGCAACTAATTCAAAATTTAAAAATACACAGAAAGTGCCAAACAAAACATAACTATTAGTGCAGGGAGATGTGTAATCAATCAATTTGCAACTTCCTTTGAAACTTGCTATTCTTTTTTTATTCCTTGTTTGTTCACTCTTTGGTTGTGGGCAATAAAGATTTAAAAGAAGGAGGTTTGTGCTCTTACATTTATGGCAACAAATACAAGATACCACAGAATACTAACTCAGACTATAGCTAATTTAGTTGAATGTACAATTATAAGAAATAGAAAAGATGGTGGTAGCTACTAAGATCAAAAAAGATGAATAAGACCCTAGGGATACACATAGGAAAAAGACAGTAACCTGCATGTGATAAACAGTTTTGGGACTGAATAGTTAGTTACAAGTTTCTTATACTACAGTGTTTTGAAACAAATGAAAAATAACATATGCTTTATAAACCTAGCATATTGTAATAAAAATTACATATAATAATTCACACTAATTAATACTTGAAAGCATGAATTGGTAAATAAAACAAACACATGTGTAGTATAGATGAACAATTTATTAAGCTATTCCAATGCCTTTTGAATTTATGAAACTTAATTTTGGAAGTAGAAAGAGCAAATGACATAGCTATGGTTAATATTTATAAAATCAGTTTATAACACAATTTTGTCAGTTCATAAAATTATTATTTTTAGGAGCATATAAAGGAGATGATTTATTGACCTTAAAGCTATATCTCAAATAATTCATTGGTCCATGAGATATTTACTTTATATAGGAAGCAGTGTATATATACCCAGGGTAAATTATCCAGAACAAAATTATGCTCCAAATAAACATTAAGCTTAGTTTGAAATTAAAGTTATATAACAACATTTTAAGTGACAATAAAACAAAGATAGCCCTTTCTATTTTTAAAAATAAAATGGTGTATGGAGTACTATGGAAAGACTGAGAAAAGCATATCTTATACTTACAGTCCATAGGAAGAATTGACTGCCAGGCTGGTTATTTGTTGTGGTGGTTCTCCACCCACCCATACCAACTGAATAACTAGTTCTGTCTGATAACCTGGTGACTGTTTAAGTGGTGAGTTTTTAACTCTGGAAAAAAAGGGAAAACATATTATCTTTTAAGCACATTTTCAATTAACTTACTACCCTACATAATTCTAAAGCCATATATAAATAGTCATACAAAAACAACTACATATGAAACTATACTAATTTTTAAATGTAAAAATGAGACTCCTGTCCTATAGAAGCATTTAATCCAGTTGGAGAGACTAAACATGTACATAAATAACAAAAATTAGAAATTATATGTAAACTCCACACATAAAGTTAGGGAGGATGGCAGGGATCAAGGCGAAAGAGAGAAAAGGAGGGGGAGGCAGGAAAGAGAGGGAGGGAGAGAAGAGTTTCAAGGAAGGGTGGGGACATGGATGAGGAGAAGCGGCAATGCAGAAGTTAATAGGGAAAAACTATAAATTCAAAAGGCCGACCTAAAACTTAAATGTTTTCCCTAAATGAAAACTGGCAAAAACATATAAGAACAAGTTAAAAGCAAATGTCATCTATTTATTTGTGTGAATATTTTTACTACAAAAAAACCCCCAAATTCTTTGACTGTGAGGTGATAGTACTTTCTGATTGCACAGATTTTGCTGATTAGTGCTAATATTATTCTTGCAAAGCATATGCCTACAAGATAAAGAACGACAAAACTCATATTTAAAGATTAATAAGTGTAAATTTGGTCACACTGGTAGATGTGTGCAGTAATTTAGAAAACAGTACTGTAAGAGAGATAAGGGTTAGACTTCAGAGGGTCGTAAGTGGTAAAGGTTTGATGTTGTTGAAAAGTTTTGAGTCCTGGCTCTTAAACTTATCAGCTGCTTCTCATCTAGAAAGTGCGAAGAGTACTACATAATCATGGTCTAAAGAAACTGAGTGCTTATAAAAGCATTTTGTGGAAGGTCAAATTACATAAAGTATTTTCATTACTAAAGAGTTAAAAGCCAATGTTAGCTTATAAAATATTTCAGGAAGATTAAACTGTTAGACATATGCACGGTGGAGTGGAACAGAGATACTAATTAGGAAACTGATTTTTCTGATGTGAAACAATTCTAAAAAAGATAGCTGAAATATACTTTTAAATAAGAACAAGGTTTTTAAGTTTCAGGAAAACAGAAAACTTGCAGCTATTTTTAATACTCTGGTACAAAAGAAGTATTTAATATTTACTGAACACATGAATGAACTGAAGACTGATTAGAGGAAGGGCAAAAGAGGAAAAGAAGTCAATGATTCTATGATCAAAAATAAATAAATACAGATATCAAGATGAAAAGGTAGTTTTAGGGTACTATGGAGTTTTTAAGTTTGAGGCGAAGGTAGGAACCTTACAAGTGAAACATTCAGCAGGCCACTAAATGTATTCCCAAATCTCACCAATAATAAGTTCATGTTAAACTTATGTTGGTTAAACTTTTGTGATAAGCATGTGAAGAAAAGGTTGTTAAGAACATGAGACTTTTTGAGGACTAAATATTTTGACACAACACCTGTCATACCTGTATCAGCAAACTTCAGGTGGAATTGAAAAACATACTTTGAAACCTCATCTTCTGATGACGTTTATTAGCTAAGATAGGCTGTCCAGACTTCAGGGAAAATGTGAATTGTTGATGGTACTCTAAGATGAACTGAGCTACAGTCACTTTTTTGTTGTGCAAGGTTTGCTAGCAATGCAGTAAGAACTATACTCTGGTTTATATGGAATTTCTAATTCTTTTCAGAGAAATAGCCACTGATTAGCTACAGCTGTTGCTCTCAAGTGAGAAGTAATAACTGAGGCATTTCCTCTCTACTCAGAGACAGCTTTGATATAGCCACAGACACAGAGTTGGAGTGGGCTGGTTTTTCCTTAAATGAACTAGGAATAGAAGATAAACTTGAAAAGTGCTTCCATTCCAGCAGATAAACTGCACACCTCAGATTAGGTTCTCATGAGCAGAAACAGGCCTTCTAGGATTAATTTTTGAAATGCATGTAAAGGCACATTTAAGACTTTTAAGTGATGAGGACACATAACTCACAGAATTTTCATTTTAGTTAAGAGAAACAAAAAGTTCTTAAAAAAAAAAAAAGAATTCAAAACTGATGCAAAATCCTCCCCCTTATTAGAAACGTCATAATATATTTTTAAAATAGAAAATTGATTGTTATATTTGATGTCTACGATGGTGCACAGGCGAGTTATAATTTTAACATTATTAGTATATTTGTTTACTTGTAAAAGACAAGCTGTTGAACCTTTATTAAAAAATCCTCTATTATTTGTACAAATATATTTAAAATGTTAAAATGGTGTTGAGATCTCACAGTTTCAAAATGCTCATTGTAAAATGACACATAAAATACCTAAATGAAAACATAAAATACCTAAATACAAACTAAATGTTATTGGCAAAAGTAACAAATAATGACTTTTAAAATGTTGAAGAACAAAACTATGTCATTTGCAGGAAAATGGATGGAACTGGAGATTACAATGCTAACTGAAATAAGCCAGACTAGAGGCAATTTTTTTTTTTATTCTTCCCCTCATATTTGGAATCTAAAGGAAAAAATAGATAACATCAATGTATCAGGGAAGCTAGTATAACCAGAAAGGTGATCAGAGGGAGGAGACGGCAATGAGAGGTAAATATGATCAAAGAATGTTATTTGCATTTATGAAAACAATGTAACAAAAACCATTATTCAGTATGATTAAGAATATACTAATAAAAATGTTTCCTAAAAAATACCAATTATGTAAAGGCATTTTATATAAGACCTCAGTATTATATTTTATATATATATATATATATATATATATATATATATATATATTTATTTATTTATGAGAGGGTACTGGGATTGAACTTAGGGGCACTCAACCACTGAGTCACATCCCTAGCCCAATTTTGTATTTTATTTAGAGATAGGGTCTCACTAAGTTTCTTAGTACATTGCTGTTGCTGAGGTTGGCTTTGAACTCGAGATCCTCTTGCCTTAGCCTCCGGAGCTGGTGGGATTACAGATATGTGCCACTGTACCTGGCAATATTTTAACAACAATTTTTGTTATATTTCTAACTTCTGGAAATATAACAAACAAGTGCTGAGGTGGTGTTGTGAAGACTCAGACACAAACTTGAAAGAAGCTCCCTCCAGCCAGCTGTGACGAAGTCAGAGGAAGTTAACCAAATTCAGTAAGTTAAAACAAACTGCCCATAAAAAAGCACTAAGAGTCCATAATCATATTCAAAAGGAGAATCCAGAATGCCTCTAGGACTTCAGATTAAAACGATATAAAGTTAATGAATACCTGAATTATTATCCAGACTGGGAAATAATTTTTAAAAAAATACATAGAGTTATGCAGTCCAAATGATTATGATGTTCCCATACATTGTTACTCTGAAGTTCTAGTGAAAATTCAAAATAAGGGACTTAAATAACCTAACTGTATAAGCACAGTCATTACTTTATGATGTGCTTCATTTTGATGTATTTAAATTGCTGTTTTAAAAATTCAGGTTATTAGAATATTAAGTATTATAATTAAAATTGATGGCTTGATATATAAATAAATAACATCATATATTAAATCAATAAGAATTTTTACTCATTTAACTATCAAAAAAAATCAGATGTAGAAAGCTTAGATACAAACACACATGGAGTCAAATCAGTAGCAATGCTTCTCTACATCTGCTAGCATTTTTTTCTTGAGTGTCAGTGGGACTCCTAGATTCCTCTCTACCCAGTCTTTAACTCTACCCTTGGCGAGGTGGAATGCATTATGAATCTGTAAAATAAGAAAAAAAATTAATGAGGCCCACTTTTTCACCCTTGCACCTTGTCCACTTGGGAGCAAGTCTGCCCCGGGGCTGCATTTTTTTCCTGTTGATTCTACAAAGGCAGTGTGTGTAAGGCTGCAGTGACTGGGAAGACAAGGCTGCTTCAGTATGTAGGTCAGGTGAAGTCAGGAAGCTTACCAGGGTCTTGTGCTAACTGTAATCATTTACTTCATTAATAATTAAGGTGATATTTTTAGTCACCACCTGAAAATATTTTATTTTTTAATGTGCTAAATAATATAGATTAGGAAAGAATAATATTATTGTAAGACTCCTATAAGGAATTATGAATAATTATACTTTGACTGTCTTATATCTATTTTTAAAGTTTAAACTGGTTGCTTGACATTCCATTCATCTCAAGATACTCTTATCTAATATCAAATGCTGCTTCCAAAAAGAACTCTTAATTAAAACATTAATAGTCTCAAAAATACAAACAAACTTAAATAATTGAACTACATACAATGTATAATAACTACAATAGAAGAAAAAATTATCACAAGGACTAAAACCTAAGTAATTAGACTACATATTATTTGAGAAATGTGCTTGAAGGTCTAAGAGAAAAACATAATACTATATTTTACTATGTGTGTAGTAGTTTTATCAGTTGGTAATTTCAACATTCATTTTGAACTTATTTTTGTAAATAAGTAAAATAAAGAAATAATTTCAGGTTAATCAATTTTAGAAAAGTGACTTGGGGACAAAGTTAAAAAGTCACTGGTTACATTACAGAGTAATGCAAACATCCAATGAAAACTATAAAGGCTTTACTTTTTTAAAAAAAATTCTTTCTAGTTCTTGTCACTGAGTGGACATTATAATACACTGCTTGTCATACATAATGTTGCACACATTTCTAGAAATCATATTTTATTCTTTTATTCTATTCTCTACAAAAAGGATCCAGGGCTTCCTAAAGATGATCACATGTGTGAGCGCAGAAAGATGTTGAGAAATGCCTAGATTATCTATATTTTTGACAGAAATCACAGATGGTCACACAAGTGCTGAGGTGGTGTGAAGACTCAGACACAAACTTGAAAGAAGCTCTCTCCAGCCAGCTGTGATGAAGTCACAGGGAGTTAACCAAATTCAGTAAGTTAAAACAAACTGTCCATAAAAAAGCACTAAGAGTCCATAATCATATTCAAAAGGAGAATCCAATTCAAATTATAGTCACATTAATTTTTTAGGAGTAAGAAAAATGTTTTTATATAATTGTGTGTATATTCATTCCCAGGACAGGCAAAGTATATCCATATATAAAAGTTAACAGTTAATGCAAATAACAAAAAAAGACTCTTTTCTCCTCCCAAATATTAATGGATTGGCAAATGATACTTTGTGACTATCAAGGCTTCCTTGAAATAACCAGCTTAAAGGCATTCCTACATTGATACTCTACTAAATCATTACAGAAAGTTAATAGTTTGTGCAACACTTTTCATCACAGCTATTAAATGTCCTCTCAAAAAATAAAGATGGTCATACCACAGTTTTAGGTCCATGAACAGTAACAGAAACCCATTAATTCCAGAACTAAGTTGATTATTATCTTTACATTGATTTGGATACTGCAGATTTGGTTTGTGGGCTAGGGACTGTAACAATTGCTCTTGGTTGCTACTTTAACTGTTCTCCTTGTTGTTTAAGTCAGTTAAAAAAAACTGGAAAAATACAAGAACATAAGATAAAGATTCACCCACTGTTTTTTAACTTTTATTAGGATGCCAAGGTAAGGGATCTTGTAACACTGATCTAATAGTACTGCTTGTCTTGTCAGTCCTATTTCCTCTGACCTATCTCATCATGGAGAAACAATGCATTGATGGTGCTCATTCTGCAGAATGGAAAATGATTTGGTGTGTTCAGGCTCCTGGACCTGTAGCTACAAGCTTACAGACATTTGGAGGTTATGGTGGTTTGGATCTTAAATGTCCCCCTAAATATGCTGAAGTCTTATTCCTCAGCTTATGGTGCTATCAGAACGTGGGAAACTTTAGGAAGTGTGGGTCTAGCTGAACAAGGTTGAGGTGTGCCTCTGAAGGGCATATCTGGACCATAGACTCTTTCCTCTCTCTCTCTTTTTTTGCTTCCTGGCCACCATTAGGCGAACAACTTTTTTCTATCTTATGTTCCTGCCATGATGTTCTGCCTCACCAGAGGTCCAAAGTTATAGGACCAAGCAACTATAGACTGAAATCAAGAGTCAAAATAAATCTTTCCTTCTTTTAAGTTGATTATCTCACATTTTGTCATTGTGATGGACAGCAGACTTAAACAGAGACATAAGAAAATATAAAGTACAAATTTTAGTATTCTAATTTTGTAGATAATGCACACTTATATGGAAATGTTATGTTAAATCATTAGCTCTGTAGTTAGTAAAACTGCTAAGGAAATACAGAAATATGTCACAAAATGTTCAAAATGCAAGTAGAACTTTATATGCTTATAAAAATTATATTTAGCAAAGAATTGGAGAAAAACATCAATATTAAAAGAAGGGGCATTAATGGAACTTATACAAATTTAAGTTTAAATCAGTAGTGATTACATAACAAAAAGGAAAAATGTAGAATTGTGTATTCCAAGTCTCACACTAGCTAAACTTACACGAAACTGTAGCTAAAAGGAGTCTGAGCCTATGTACCAGAAAGAAGGAAGAGAAAATTAGCAGGAGGAGGAGGAGAAGGAGGAGGAGGAGGAGGAGGAGAAGGAAGAGGAGGAGGAGGAGAAGGAGGAGGAGGAGTAGGAGGAGAAGGAGGAGGAGGAGAAGAAGGAAGAGGAGGAGGAGAAGAAGGAAAAGGTGGAGGAGGAGAAGGAGGAGGAGGAGGAGGAGGGGGAGGAGGGGGAGAAGAAGAAAAAGGAAGAGGAGGAGGAGGAGGAGGGGGAGGAGGAGGGGGAGGAGGAGGTGGAGGAGGAGGAGAAGCAAAACACAGGAAAAGTCATTCTCTTGCCATTTTACTCTACCACAGGACAATGTTACTGCAGTTCTAATGCTTACAATTTATCTAAATTAAAAGAACATGCAAAACAATTCTACAATTGTTTTTATAACTTACTTTAAACAAGGTACATTATCACGAAGTCCATCAGATGAACTGCTGCTGGTAGATGGATGAGACTGTGGAGGAATGGGCTGAGGATTGGAACCTCCTACAGGTGTTGACAAAGGTGGTGGCTGCTCACTTTCTGGAGATTCCACATCATTTATCTCATATAACAACCGAACTTCAAGCATCTGTTGTAAAAGAAAGGCAGTTTACCTACTCTTAATAACTGATATTCATTTTATTACAATTTGTACAACCACACCTAAAATTGAATGCAAAGAATATTTTTAAAGGCAGAAGTTTAGCAGGATGTCCAAAGATAAAGGAAAAGATTTATGATTCAGTTTTTTTTAAATGTGTATATGTGGGGAGCACACACAAAAACACATATGTTATGATTTTAGAATTTATGACAACTCTGTTATTATCAAATTAGAGTACATCATATTAATAATAGCTTTCCTTAAATGAAACATACAATGCACTTAAGGGTTTATGTATTCAGTTAAAAGATACACAAAGAAAATGGTATTTTTCACAGAGATGACAATGCAAACACTGAGGTGTTTTCACAGGTTCTTTACAAGCCTGCACAGAATCTTCTAAATCATTCACAACTTTAAAAATACTGGACACCTGACACTGAAAATAATTAATAAACTATTACCGGAATAACTTCTGTAATCACTTCCTGTTTGCTGAATCTATAAATAATGACATGAGCTGAAACTCCAGCTATGCACAGCATTCTACTTTCTGGGCACCAGGAGATGATCTGAATGGCATATGGATCTTCATCTACAATGTCTGTATTTGGTCTGTCATCTTTATTTCTTGACTTTTCAAATACTTTAGATGTTTTTAGTTTATATAATACTTGTAGAGTTACTAGAAAAAAGGTAATACACAGTCATTGTAACACAAAATAATCAAATATAACATTTAATTAATCATATTATGTAAGGAAAATAGCTTGTACTTGCCACCTCATACTTTCCATTTTTCACTCTACATTATAGTAGTCTATCATACATTTAGACACTGTACATATTTGCTCACTGAATGAAAAAAGGCGTACTCATGGTATTCATTAAAAAAAATAAATCCAGCTGGGGTTGTGGCTTAGTGGTAGAGCACCTGCTTAGCACATGGAGGCAATGGGTTTGATCCTTAGCACCAAATAAAAATAAATAAATTAAAGGTATTGTGTCCACTTACAACTAAATATATCAATCAATCAATTAATCTGCCATCATAGGGATTTAGTTAACCTGAGAAAAATGAGTGACAAAGATATTTTGGGAGAAATGTATAAACACAAAGAAAATAACACAGAACATATACTGCTTCCTAAAATGATTTTTTTATATAGCTATATATTTTCTATAGAGAAGGTACCAGTATTATCAGGCACTCATACATAATGAAATATAAGAAACTCTGCATTAACTGGATTCCCATGAATGTTTGCCATGTATATTTTGCAAACATTAATCATTAAAGGCATTTTTTTCTTTTTTTCTACTTTTCCACCATTAGATATATTTCACAAAGACAACACAGATTTTTTTATACTATAAATTTAGGATCAGCCATCAAACCTGCTTTAAAATTATCTGCTTATTTGGAATATATTACTATTTTTTCTATTTCTGATTTAGTAAGAGAAGGTTTGAAGATATTTTGAAGAAAAAAAAAAACTATCAAGAATTATTCTTGATTTACTAATATGACTAAAATGTTTACTCTTAAAAATTCTAAATTCATATACTTGATAAGTCAGTAAGTTTAAGTTATAGCCTACAAATTTCAAATTAAATGTTGATTATGCAATTATTATAAAATAGTATGAACAAAAGCAATGATGGTATAACATAGCCAATAATAAACATTCAAAATACTTACTTGCAGAAGCATCCCAGAACTTAACTGACCCATCAGCATGCCTATGAAAAGCAAATGAGTCAAGAATGTGATGAAGAAAAACAAAAAGTTATATTTTTCTTCTTATTTATAAGTTTTTATTTTAATAATATAGGCACCAGAGTGAGTAAAAGGTAAAAAATCAGGGTAAATTTGTAGATTCTGGATTAAGAATTTATTTTTTTATTATGTTATAACATAAAGTAAAGCTCTACCTGCCCAATAAATTAAAATTCATGTAGTCTTAATTATATTTAGATATTATTGATTTACCTGGTGAAAACAGATTTTTACTTACCCTGTAATAATTATTTCTGGGTAACTCTGAGCACCCAATCCCCAATTACCTCCATTGATGGGCCATTCCTACAAACAAAGATCACTGTGTAAAGTAACTTGCAAGTACACTGCATATCTTCATATATGTGTGTTTGCATACATATATACTATGTATTATGTTATATATATCTTCTTATACAATGCATATATGAAAACACTAAACATATTTTGCTTCCAAAAATGATCTTCTACAGAAAGGATACCAATGTTACCAAATACTGCAAGGTGATTAATTTAAAAATATAAAATGAACATTAAATAATGAAACTCATGTTAAATACCTTTTTGCTGTAACCTTGACGTTTCTGTCTAGCTCCAACAGAATAAAGTGCAGGAATAAGGTCCACAGGACAATCAGCAAAGTATTCACAACATGTAACAGGAGACTCATGTATACTCAAAGGGTAGGGATTTTCAAATATAGGATATCTTTAACAACAGGAAAAAGAAAAAATATATTAATTTAATAAATTTTAATGTATGATTAACACAACAATGAGAATTTTTAAAAATATACATTTTAGTAGAGATTCAGTTGATTTTTATTCATTCAAATATGTAAAAGTTGAGGTTTTGTATAGTTAGAAGATGCTAAAAAATAACCATAAAGAAAGGTTACAGTTGCAGCTATTTGTAATTACCATTTGTAATACACTATATTAGGTGCTATATATACATATGTCTCATTTCCTTCTTGTACAAACTTAGGATATAGACATTTTTCTGAAGAACAAAACCTGAGACACAGTAATGTGTCAAAGGCATGCCAATTAGTATTTGAAGCAGAATTTAAATTGCACCTTTAATCATTAAGCAATATGGCTTTCATAACAGATATCTCATCCTTACATCAGCAAAGCCAATATAAATTTTCAATTCTTAATCTCTCCATCAGTGTGATCCTTAGTCCAAAATTAAATCCAGAATGTTATCTTGTTTCAGTGACAAACTAAAACATAATTCCATCTTAAATGCTTTCTATATATGAAATTATTTTACCAAAGAAGCAAAAAAAAAAAATGCTTTTAAAAATCATGAAAGTAAAAACATACACAGACATTCCTTAGATTGAGTTACTTAAAAACATATGGAAAAAACAGAAGTTGGATAAAATATCTAAAATGTAAAAAATGATTTGTAAATAGTAGGCTACTAGTCAGCCTATCCTTGACAATAAGTTTTTAAAACAGGAATTTTCAGAAAATTCCTTTATAGACTACAAAATGAACCCTCCCCCAGCAAGAAGACAAAACACAAACAAAAATGTGCAGTCAAGCAACTTTCATCTCTTTACAACACAGGTCTTTCTTTAGCTCAAGACTCTTCTATACATTTAGTTGGTACTTTTGCTAAATAAGATGTCTCATCACAGGTTACTTGCATAATATTTTCTTTGACTTTACTATATTCCATTAGAGATCACCTGTACAAAGTCTCAATTATTTTAAAAAGTTACCTAAGAAGGGAAAATAAAAGAAAATCATATTGATATGAAACAGCAGTTGTAAGCAGTGGGGACATAAGGTTAAGGGAATAATTCAATAAATTGGGTTCACCTTGTTTACCCTGACACACTTCCTTTTTTTTTTAATAAAAATAATTTGCCTGCAGCCCTGTCTGGCTTAATTCAATAGGATATGTTACATTCCTCAGTAAAAAACCTGTTTTCTGCAGGAGGAACTCAGGCCCCAAAATACTGATCAAAAGAACACAAGTTGCCCTGAAGTGGGAGACTTTTGTGATTCACAGTCCAAATGCCAGAACTCTGGGAGAAAAGGATAATTCAATTCCCCTTAACCATAATATCCGATTAGAACTGATCAGCATGGGCCAAAGTGAGCTCCAGTTATCCTGCAGAAATGACATCTTGCTACCAGTCAAAAGTCAAGAGGTGAACCTGGGTATGACTTTCTGGAAATTTCCTTGGAACCCCCAATAAATCCAGAGGACAGGAGGGCATGCCATCCTCCTCTCTGAGAGGACCCACTCACTCCACTTTCTCCTTTTCCTATCTTTTTCATAAACTCATGCCTGCTATTCTGAGTGACACATATGAAAAAATTGCCTTGGCTATTCAGCTGAGCCACAGGTCCATGTTTTATAACAACATTAAAAGAAGTTATTCTAGGAATGTCATGTGGAAAAAAAATGTTTTCAAATGGTCTTATTATTTCAAAAAAGAAAAAAGTACTTTATGATTGTTACCTTACTATTTATTATAAGTAGCAGGAAATAAGCTGAAGTAAAATTAGAACTTCCTACAAAATCAGATAAATAATACTGTTCATCTATTTCAGGGCTTCCCAATCTCGATACTATTCACATTTTAGACTAGGTAATTCTTTATTGTGGGAAACTATCCTGTGTATTGTGGATGTTTTGCAGCATCCCTGTCTTCTACCCACCATATACCAGTAGCACCTCACCTTCTAATAATAGTGCCTCCACAGACATTGCTAAATATTTCCTGGGGAGCAAATTCACCCTCGATAGAGAAACACTGAAACATTCAATGAGTAAACTCAATAAAAAACCATGCTTAATGATACTTTCTTTAGAGGCAGTAGTAAATAATACAATGTGCTTCCAAAATAAACAAACGACCATCTAAGATGAAAAAATAGAACACAGCAAATGCCAGAATAAGTCAAAAAGAAACTGTGATGGGGGACTTAAAGATCAGATATGATATATCTAGTAAGGAGAGGATAGAAATATATTTAAAAAGAAAAGGCGGCTGATTTTGAAAGTTCAGTGGAACAGGAGGAGCAGTCCATTACAGGGAGTTACATAAGAGAAGATGTGAAGTATGATATATATCTAACACAGAGCTCAGTTTTCCCCAGAAATAAAGCAACTGTGTTGAGGATAGTAAGAGAACAGGCTGGAAAGGATCTGACAATGGTATGTCCCACAATTGCAACAGAGAGAAACAGAGATAGGGAGACTAAAAGAGATTATTTATCTATATATAAATTGTGATGGAATCAATTTTGGGCAAGTTAATTTTGTGTTACTTCAGGTTGAAGAAGTGAAACATATGAAATGTAAGAAATCCAATAAACTTTGGAATTAAGAAATGAAAATTCTATGAGATTAAATATAATAGAGAAATTTGGCAGGGCAATTAGAAAGGTGAGTCTGGACTTTTATACAGATCAACGTTATAGAGAGAAATGTAGAGTTTTTGAAGAAATAAAATAGCTAATCCTACGATAAAAGCAACCTTTTGTTGACCACATACTGATGGAAATGCTCACACAATTGTCTTACCCGTTTTGTGCAAGGTCTATAAGTACTAAATCCTTTTCTAGAAGAACAACAACAGCATACGGTTCTTGAAAATCTGGAATAGGAAAACAATGCATGAACAAAAGTTTTAAATATACAAGAGGACAGCAAATTAGATAATAAGCATTTACTTATTTTTGTGTTTTATATTGTTTCTTACTTTTTAATATTCTGATTATATGATATTGCATGTAATTTAAAGCTTATATTTTATATTTTAGATGAGATAAATCTATTTAATAATCCATTCAAAATTCTTTCACTTTTGTGAGCTGAGAGTATAGACCAATGGTAATCCCCTTGTCTAGCATGTGCCAGGCACTGGGCTCAATCCCAACACCACCAAAGACACTTGAAAATTCTTTCACCCTTTTAAAATGAATAAAACAAGAAGCTCACAGCAACTTCCAGGGATGGACAATAAAACCAAAATTTAAATATGAATACCCACAAGAACAATTCTATTTATCTCCTATTGGTTCTACTTCTCTGAAGAACTCTGACTAATCCAACACACTAATATTCTACAGAATTTTAAAATGTTTCTTAATATGGATAGTGTAACTTTCAAAGGCCCTTACTAATGTATAATACTGAGCTGATAAGGTTTGTTAAAACAAACTGCTGAAATAATATTTGCAAGGTAATGAAGGCAGCATCTGTTTCTCAGAAAAAAATTAAGCAAAATAGGATAAGGAAACTACTTAACAACACAGAAGTCTTTGTTTTCAGTATTAATATTCATGGGTAATGAGTTTTAATGATGCAAAGTTTACCATTTGGGTATGGTGTTTCACAGAGTGTCAGGAAGTCAACAATTGGATAGTCCATCTCCAGCACAGCAGTACTTTTCCCATGCATTACTGTTAAGCAAGGTCTTCTTCCTACAGTATCATATGACAAACCTCCTGATAAAATAATAAAAGGCTCCCTGGAAATAAAATAATAGTTAGAATTACAAATAGCATGGTGGGGACTATTTTCTTGCTGCATCATAAATTTTATTTAGTGAAATATAAAAATCTCAAATTCTACAACTTTTATTTGTCATAAAACTGAATAGTCATGTGGTGGTTTTAATTAGACTAGGTTTAAGGCCCAGGTAAATTCCTGAAAATTAAACTACAATAAAAATTGAACACTGACCACATTTGACTCTTCTAACCTCCTCTGGGTGACATATATATATATATATATATATATATATATATATATATATATATTTTTTTTTTTTTTTTTTTAAATCCCCTATACAAAACTGTCATAAAATTTCCTCTGGGTTTCAGGCAAATCTTTTGAGTATAATACTTTTATTTCTAGCCCTAACAAAGTCTACTTAACAAGAGAATCTTACTGCCTTGACAACAAATCTACTTTTCAAAGATGTATCAAATCACTAGCTACAAAACACCCCTGAGAACTGAGAAGAGTCACTCAATTTCCTGTAGGTCTTAATTTTCTTCTGGAACCTTGGCAGATATACTTTCAAATCTTAGCTTCCATTACTCATCCTATCAGTTGCCAGTTTGCTATGTCTAATTAGCCTTACAAATCTATAATTTTCCTTTTCTGTCTCTCTGCTAGTAATTACTAAAACTAAATGACTTTTTTTGGGGGGTGGGGGGTGTTACCAGGGATTGAACCAGGGACACTTAACCACTGAGCCACATTTCCGGGTCTTTTTATTTTTGAGATGAGGTCTCTCTAAGTTGCTTAGGTCCTTGTTAAACTGCTAAGGTTGGCTTTGAATTTGCAATCCTCCTGCCTCAGCCTCCTAAATCTTTGGGATTATAGGTGTGCACCACGGCATCCAGCCTATGGATGATTTTCTTAAATCTCCTGTTTATGACTTCTTAAATTGCTCATGCTTACACTAAGGCCAGTAAGTTAATCTTCCTCCTAGCCTATTTTTCATATTATCCTTTTCTTTCCCATTCACTGAATTTTTAAAGTCCTTACATTAAAAAAAAAAAAGTGTATAATAATGGTGGGCCAAGACTGTAGCTCAGGGTAGAGTGCTTGTCTCGCACATGTGAGGCACTGGGTTCAATCCTCACCACCATATGAAAAAAAAGATATTAAAACCGGAAAAAAAAAAAACAAAAACGGTGTATAATAATGTTAAGGTGCTGAAACTAGAAACCATCTTAATTTAAATCTCATCTCTAGCTACTTTCTATGTGAACTTGGACAGCTTGTTAAGTTCTTTGCATCTAGTGTCCACACGTATAAAATGGAGACAGAGATAAGTAACTTCAGGTGATTCTTAAACTGAACAGTGCTTGGCCCACACTAACCCATGTAAGAGTTATCTTTATTATTGTCAATATCACAGTCATCCACTGTGAAAATTTTCCTTCATGGTGTGTAGGGGAAAAAAATTTTAAATCATGTTTATTTTTATCTAAAATAAGAATAAACTTCAGTAAAATCAATTCACAGTTATACAGATGTGTATTTTATAAGCAAATATAAATTTTAAGATGAAGAACTGAAATGATTATTATAGTTAGCAATTTAATCTTTTTAAAAATATAAAACATAATTTTTGTGATATCACAGTTTTTTAAGCAACACTGTCATTCTACACTGTCATCCTACATTCCATCCTAGCTTTTTTTTTCTTTTTTTTTTTTTTATTAGCTACACTGACCGTACAATGATCTTGACAATTCATACATCTGGCTTTATTTCTTCCACAATATTTATCACTAAGAACTAATTTATCTATTTAGCTTAGTGTTTTTCTCATCAAAATGTGTCCTCCACGAGGCAGGGGTTTTTATGTGTATTGTTCATTACTGTATCCAAAACAGTGCCTGCTACATACTAGGTACTAATTAGATTATTTTCTCAAACGAATGAACAGAAATGTGTGTTTCACTAATCATTCTTTAGTGTATTATCATTTAGATTTTTCAACCCTAAATTAATTTTGGTATTCTTATTTTGTCAGCTAAGTTGAAGTAACATTACATTTCATTCTCAATAAAACCAAATCTATATATTTAGTGTTTCAACCTCTCAGCATACTGCGATTATAAAGACTATGATTAGGAATGTATATTTAATTTCATTCCACTTTTTTTCACATATAATGAACAAAAAGAATATAGTTTTTCTATACCTTCAAATAGCAATATACAACAACATAAAAATACCATGAAAAAGGTGAGGAGTTCAACAGGGAACTAATGTTTGTTAAACTTTTACAGATTGGGATGCCTGGGTCAGGTATTTTATGTGAAATATAAAAACACAATTATCCATTTTAAAAATTTTATTTCACCAATGAAAAGTAAACCAGTATTATTATTACCAGAACTATGAACATAGGGATATCAACTGAATTATATAAAATGTCCAAAAAGCACTCATGGAGATCAAACTGGGTTAAGTGACCACTTTATACATTCTTAAATAGTGCTATGGCAATTAGTTAGGTTTATCCTCAGAAGGTGAATTATTTTTTTCCCCTATGGTTCTGCAAGCTGCCTATATTTTTTTTCTAAATGTAGATGAATAAAAGATATAGACTAAGGATGTCAACTGACGTGTTACCAAGGTAATTTTCTTTTGAATAAATTTGCCAAACCCAGCAATAAATACCCTGTTTTTACTATTTTTAAACTTTTGCTAAGTGCTGTTTCTTTAAAATTGTATGTCTGATTGAAGAAATAGCTACCCAATGTACAAAACCCATACATCATTTTTTTTCATTATAATGACCCAAACTTGAAGAGTAAACTTGGAGAATATTTGATGTTCTTTTTTAAAATAAAAAGGAAAGCCTTTTTAAAAAAAAAATTTGTTGTTTTTAGATATACATGACAGTAGGATGTATTTAAAAGGTAAGCCTTTTGAGGTTATAAGAAGGTATAGATGTAATGTAATTTTTATTCTATTACTTTAGGTGTAGAATCCTTTTTCATAATATTGGATGTTAACTAAGACTCTTATTTTGGAAGACATCTAGGTTGGAAAGATGTCACTTTGAAAGTTTTGTAATTCCAGCTGTTTTTTTAAAGAGGCTAGGCATTTCATGGAATACAAATGCTTTTAGCTTCTGGTTAACCTTAGTCTGGCCTTGAGAATCATTTTGGTTGAAGCTGGGTTTCTCTATGAGTGTTCCTTGCCTAAAGAAACCATCTCAATCCAAAAAATCATTCATAAGTAATACACCTAATCCAATTCCATAATAGTGTTTATGCATTCACTCAATATTTCTTGAGTGCCTGTGTTCCTGGGAATAAACAAGTGCTCTCATGTCTAGTCCAGGCAGACATCAGCATACTGTGATAAGTATTTCAAAGAAAATAAAACAAGGACAGTGGTAGGCTGAATGCAAGGGTAGAGCCAGAGAAATCAGAGTAAAACCATGAGATCAGAAGAGGCCCTTTAAGTGATGACTGGTGAGCTAGTGACAAATGAACAGAAGGCAGCCAAAGAGCTTGGGTTGGGAGGTAGAAGAAGGTACAAAGCAAAAAGAGCGGCTGCTGCAAAGACCCCAAGTCAGGAATAAGCAGGGTGTATCTGAGGTACTAAAAGACTAGTGTGACTGCAGCAGTGAGCAAGGCACACATGGGTAATGAATGATGGACTCCAGATCTTATAAATACATTCCATTTACTCTATCAATTAGGATCTCCAGAGTTGATCTCCTCCTTCCCATCTCCACAATGACCTTAGTTCTGGCCTTTATATAGCATTTGGATAAAATGTTCAATTAGCATTTTCCTTGTTTTATATTCGATTAATCCCTATTCCTCCTTAAAAATCAGTTTAATCAATATTTCCTCACAAAAGCCTAACCTAATCAACCCACACTGAGGAGGGAGTCTACTCCTCCATGTTTCTAAGCACCTTCCACCAAACTCTTCTCTGTATTTACCCAATGAATTGCCATTGTTTTATCTACTTTCCTTTTGTAGATTTTACCTTTGTAGCTCTGGCTAGGTGGCCAAAATAGTAGAATGTTTGTCACACACACATCTGAAATACCACTAATCCTATAGCTGAGCTGGTCATAGCACCATTAGACTTAGTGAACTAGAAATACTTCAACCTGGGGCCCAGAATCTCAGGTGATTCCAACATAGTGCTAGATTTGAGAAATACTGTCCAAGGTAGTTTTTATACTCTGTATAATCACTATCCCTACATGTATTATTCACTATCTCTATGTATATTAAAAGTTAGAGATTAAGCTCTAAGTTGTTAATATCATATGCCACTGTCTACATCACTCATTGTTTACATTACTACTCTTCCAAATCTTCAACAATTTCTTTCAGACGGAAAGATACAATTCTCTTTCAGAGAAATATTTATATGTTGAATGAGTGCAATTTTATGAACCTTAGCTCTTGTAAGCTAACTGGTAACTAATACCTAAACTTTACCACTCTAATCCCAGTGCTTATCACAATACCCAAAGACACACATATTTATTAAATGAGTAACCACTTTATTTTTTAAGTTCTATATCAAATTTTAAGAGTCTCATTACTTCAAATTTCTAATGAAAATTATCAACATTTAATTTGAATGTTCTAATGGAGATCCATGCCCTTGTATTCAGTATTAAATTGTCTATTTTTTCACAAAAACTAAAAATTTAGATTAAGCTAATCATATGTAGTAGACTCATGTACAGACATGATGCTATGGTTTAGATAAGTGACTCCAAAGAGTGTTGAAAGGCTTGGTTCCCAAGCCTTATAGGGAGGCATTATAGGGAGGTGGTAGAGTTTTTAAGAGGTGGGGCCTACTGGGAAGAAGTGAGGCTACAGGGGGCTTGCCTTTAAAGGGAATATTTGAACTTGGTATCTCTCTCTCTCTCTCTCTCTCTCTCTCTCTCTCTCTCTCTCTCTCTGCTTCCAGGCTGCCATTGGGTGCGCAGTTTCCTCTGCCATACACTTCCACCATGATGTGCTATTTTACCACAGGCCCAACATGCCAATTGACCAGACTGAAACCTCCAAAAACATGAGCCAATAACTCAAGTATGATGTTACAGTGATGGAAAACTGACTAACACACATGGTCTAAATAAAAACCAAACTTGTGAAGCATACTAAAAAATATTAATACATTCTTTTTACTAGGCTTTGAGTTATCAAATCAAAATGCAATAATAAAAAAAAACAGACTTAAAAAAACACTGATTCTAAGAGCCAAGAAGAATAAAATAAAATTTAAAACATCAGGAGATGAATTAAAAATACTCTCCTAATCATGTAATGTTATACTTTTGAACATGACTTTGCAAACTCTATAGTCAAGAACTACTTAAAATTTTCAGTTCATCACAAATCAATGCCTTTGTAAAACAAATAAATACAAACACACACACACACACAAACTGAATGTACACGTAAATGTTGCAACAATTTTACACAACATGCAAGTTTCTACACTTTCAATCTTGATTTCTATATGTATTTTATCTCAGACCAGTTAGAAGATAGGAGCTGTTCAAAGGCCACACTTCGAGCACCACTAGTCTAGGATACAAAAACTAAGCTTTCTAATAATCTAATATGACCTGATTTAACCATCCCTATGAAGGGGTATGGGTGATTAAAATGTTACTGAGGATCTTACTGTAAGGCCCCATAGTCCCTTCATGCTCTGTGGAGTTCACTCTGAAACTATATATCTTTTTAATATACCTTTTTAGCTGGGAACACCTGGGTCGGTAGGCTGGTCCCAAGGACAATTCTTTGACAAAAATAGAGTACTGCTTAGTTATGACAAGTATTCTTCAAGGTCTGTTTTGAGCTGAAAGGGGGCAATAACAGGTTAGCAGAAGAAACCATTATGAAAATGGAGTGTGGCATGGAGAATACAACTGTGTTCAAATCCCAACTCTATTACTTTGTGTCTTATTTCCCCTCCCCCCAATACTGGGGAGTGAATCGGGGCGCTCAACCACTGAGCCACATCCCCAAACCCTTTTTTTATTTTATTTAGAGACAGAGTCTCAATGACTTACTTAGGGCCTCACTAAGATTCTGAGGCTGGCTTTGAACTTGCAATCTTCCTGCCTCAGTCTCCCGAGCAGCTGGGATTACAGGTGTGCACCACCAGGCCTAGCTGAACAACTTGTTTTAATGGTCAGTCCATCAGCTTTCTCTTAACTGATAAGCACTTCAAAGACTGTGAAGATTAAATGCTATATTTATTAGAGTGCTCAGTACAAAATACATTTTCAAAAAAGTACCTAATATTGTACTTGTGTGATGATGATATTTCAGTATCTTTCTAGTTCAGCTCTGCACCTCTATCAATTTTAGGAAGTTCATGTAGAATACTGTAGCTATATTTTCAAAGCATGTTTCCTAGTTATCAACCCTAATATTCTTTCAATAACACAGATAAAAGAATTTTGGTTTTGGGGGAAAAAAAAAAGGAACCTGATATGTTTAGGCAAGTTCCTATTCATTTAAAGACTAATTTTAAAGTAATATTAAAATAACTTTGGTAGAATGGATTAACATATATAGCATTTGAATAAAATGTTAAAATTTTAATATAATCTTATATTAAATGTTTTGTCAATATAATTTCTATTGTGCTAAATTAAATTGTTAATAGCAATGGGCCCTAATTCATATCCTTTTAGGAATAAAAATATTGGAATCTCAATATATTTAATTTTGCATAGCCTCTTATTGCTCTGCAGTATGCTACAGCAATGCTTAAAAGGTCCATGAGATCTCTACAGATTGCCAGGATATTTCCCAGAAGTCTGTGAGGTCAAAACATTTTCATTACAAGAGTAAGACATTTCTTGACCGGTAATTATGGCCAAAAGTAATAGAAGGTAGATAAAAAATACTGGCATGTCAACAAGAATCAAAGCAGAGGTACCTAACTAAACTAGGCATTGTATTCTGCACTGCCACAGATTAAAGAGGCTCCCCTTAATAAACACTTTAAAATGCCACTGATTAGTGTGACTACACTTTTGTATATGCAGTTAAACATATTTAGAGAATGGCACTTGTGCAATGATTTGGCTGAATCCAATGAACTAACTACTATTATTTTTCCTTGAAAAAAAATGATTTGTTAGACAGTCATTATTTAGGCGTGGGTAACTGACATTTTCTCAAAAATGAATAAGTTGAGTCTGTCATTAAAAATAAACCCCCAAACTGACATTTGTTTCTAGTGATAAAATCTAGGCTTTCAAATAAAAATAAGAATTGTGGAAAACTTATTGAGTGTGTCAGCCTCCCAATACTTTTAAAAACTTTTAATAACACTGATTGCATTATTAGCAACTTGAATTAATATTCACATCATATAATACAATGTATCCTTTGGAGATACTAATTCAGTGAGTCATTCGTATCTTCTAATTCATAGGAATACAACATTAATTAATATCAGTCCATTACTTTGGGTTCTTTTTGTATCAATAGTTTAATTGTGTTAACAATTAGGTACTGTTTAGGAAACATAAAAGTAAAAGCTGTAATGTAGTCTTTGTCATATAAAATTTTTTTCTGATTAAATGGACTATATATATGGTCTTCACAGTGTTACGAATATAATTTCGGAGCTCATTTATAAGAATACAGTTTCCAAAATCATTTAGTGTAGACACTGTTTTATATGGATTTGATCTCTGCCTCTAGAAAGACACAATCTAAATCATATAAACTTATATTAACATATACCACAGTCAGGTAAAAGTAAAGGACAATTAGTGAGTATTTACTAAGTTATTCAGTCTATGTACAGACCAAAAGGGAACACTTTTTTGGAGAAAGATGGAAAATATGTGAATAAGATGAATAATGAAGGGAAAACTGTTCTTTGAACAATAGAGTTTTAACAATATGCTAGAGAATCAATACAGATCATGAAGGCACAGCTCTAAAAGAAAAGATTATAGGAAAGCTCAGAATGAAATTCAGTACTAGGAAAAGTAGGATGAATAAACAGAGGTAACATAAGCAAAAGACATTTGAAGAACTTATGAAAAAAATGACAATTTTGAAAATAAAAATTATGCTTAAGTAAAGCTGTCTCTTTTGATAAATTTACAAATTGGACAACTGTAGAAGGGGTTAATTCTATTTTAGGATTTCAGAAATAAAAGAATTATTACCAAGTGACTATTAACCACTATTCTATTATGTTAAATTAATTAGTAGTTTCTAGACACAGAGGCATAAACAAATGTGTGGGTAATATACGAAAACATAAATGCTGAGCTGAGTGTTTGCCTGCAAAAAGTAAATTTGTAAAGTTCCTATGAAGCACTGCTGCTTTGCATGCAGATACAAAGTGAACTTGAACCTGTATTTTCACACCATGCTGACTTTCCAGGAAGAGCAGTCATTTTGGAGTACACAATGTAGTTGTAGTATTTAAGATATCCAAATAGACTTGTATATGATTAGATTTATTTAAATACATAAGAGCAGTTTTAATTTAATAGTTGTTTTAGTCAGCTTTTCCACTGTTGTGACTGAAAGACTCAACAAGAGCAATTTTAGGGGAGGAAAAGTTTATTTGCATGCTCACAGTTTCAGAGGTCTCAGGCCATGGACAGCCAGCTCCATTCTTTGGAGCTGAAGTGAGGCTGAACAACATGGTGGAATAGTGTGGTGGAGAGAAGTGGCTCACAAGATGATCAGGAAGCAGAGACTTCACTCCCCAGATACAAATACACACCCCAAAGCCACACCTCCAATATCCCACCTCCTCCAGCCACACCCTGCCTGCCTTCAGTTATGTTCAATTAATCCTCTCAGGTGATTAATTCACTGATCGGGTGGAGGCTCTCATAACCATATCATTTCTTCTCTGAACCTTCTTGCATTGTCTCACACATGAGCTTTTGTGGGACACCTCACATCTAAACCATAACAATAGTAAAGATAAAATTCCTTTATCCTTAAAAAGGCAATATAGGAAACACCTTAAAAAATACAGGTGGGATCTTAGCACGTGAAATTGTTAGAAGTAAAAAATCTAATCTTTGAGATTAAACCCCTGTCTCTAACCATGCACAAAACTTAAAGTGGATCAAGGACCTAGGAATTAAACTAGAGACCCTGGGTCTAATAGAAGAAAATGTAGGCCCAAATCCCCATCATATCACATTAGGCCCCCACTTCCTTAGTAAGACTCCTATAGTGCAAGAATTAAAAGCAAAAATTAATAAATGGGATGGATTCAAACTAAAAAGCTTCTTCTCAGCAAAAGAAATAATCAGTGAGGTGAATAGAGAGCCTAAAGCTTGGGAGCAAAATTTTACCACATGCACATCAGATACAGCACTAATCTCCAGGATATAAAGAACTCAAAAAGCTAAACACCAATAAAACAAATAACCCAATCAACAAGGGACCAAGGAACTGAACAGATACTTCTCAGAAGGTGACATACTGTCAGTCAACAAATATATTAAAAAAATGTTCAACATCTCTGGCAATCAGAGAAATGCAAATCAAAACTACTCTAAGATTTCATCTCCAGTCAGAATGGCAGGTATTATGAAGACAAACAACAAAGGTGTTAGCTAGGATGTGGGGAAAAAGGCACGCTCACACATTGCTGGTGGCACTGCAAAATGATACAGCCAATATAGAAAGCAGTATGGAGATTCCTTGGAAAATTGGGAATGGAACTACCATTTGATCCTGCTATCACACTCCTTGGTCTATAAACAAAGGACTTAAAAACAGCAAAGTACAGGGACACAGCCACATCAATGTTTATTGAAGCACAATTAATAATAGCTAAACTGTAGAACAAATCTAGATGCCCTTCACTAGATGAATAGGTAAAGAAAATGTGGTGTATATATACACAATGGAATATTACTCATCAATAAAAGAGAATAAAATGATGACATTTGCAGGTAAATGGATAGAGATGGAGAATATAATGCTAAGTGAAGTTAGCCAATCCCAAAAAACCAAATGCTGAATGTTTTCTCTGATATAAGGAGACTGATTCATACTGGGGTTGGGAGGAGGAGCATGGGAAGATTAGATGAACTCTAGATAGGGCAAAGGGGAGGGAGGGGGCAAGGGGTAAAAAAGATAGTGGAATGAGATGGACATCATTACCCTAAGTACACGTATGAAGACATGAATGGAGTGAATATACTTTGTATACAACCAGGGATATGAAAAATTGTGCTCTATATGTATAATATGAATTGTAATGCATTCTGTCATATATAACAAATTAGAATAAAAAATTTTTAAAAATCTGATCTTGGGCATACACTTATATAACTTCTACACAAGGTATTATATCTAACAATCTATTAGATACAGTTTTCTAGTGATGTGGGATTACACCAAAAAATTATAAGAGTTCCCCTAAAAACAAAAATGATTAAGAAAAAGTAGCAGAAGTTCTGAATATCACTCTATGAGGTGGCCTGTTCTCTTCATTTGACCATTTACTACATGCAAAGCTATTTTCTACTTTATTATATGGTGCAGAGAGAGGACTTCACAATTGTGCCAAGGAAATGTAAGTCGAATGGTATCTTAAAAGTAAGAAAGCAGCTGAGCGCGGTGGTACATACCTGTAACCCAGTGACTCAGGAGGCTGAGAAAGGAGGATCACAGTTCAAAGCTATCCTCAGTAATGGCAAGATGCTAAGCAACTCAGTGAGACCCTGTCTCTAAATTAAATACAAAATAGAACTGGGGATGTGGCTCAGTGGTTGAATGCCTCTAAGTTCAATCCCCAGTATCCCCCCCACTCCCTCCAGAAAAGCAAGAAAGTACATGAAACTTCTCCTAGTTAGGTATGATGTTTGGGAAGTAATGCTGGAATAAAATGTCCTTGTTTTGAAAGAATGAAGATGTTATAGGGAAATCTGGAATGGATTATAGTATGTCAATCCCTGAAGAAAATGATAAAAATCAACCAACTTAAGATCAAAACCTTTTAGTTGACACAGTAAAAGTGAGAAGAAACAGGTGGGAAGGTTAACTAAGGAGGCATTTCAAATATGAAAAGTTTAAAGATTCAAAGAGGTTATTTTGGTTTGGATATAAGGTGTCCCCCAAAAGTTACTGTGCTAAAGCAGGAATGTTCTGACATAAAATGATTGGATAGTGAGAGCTCTACCTAATCAGTCCATCCTAGTTTGGATGGACCCAAATAAGCATAAGACTAAATGCAATGACTGCAAAGGTTATCATATCATAAACTTAAATGTATGGCCTGAAGTGACAAGAAACTCTCAAACCCTGAGTAACTGAACTAGTTACATGACGTTACCTGACATGTTAGAGGCAAAGAAAGATCTCTCATTTTCAGTTCACATTATGTGATTAGCTGTATTTAGTATGACTATAATTAAATTTAGGATGATGATCTGATAGAGTAACAAATTTAAAAGACAATCCAGGATTTGACAAACTGAATGACTTGTCAGTCATTAGGATGATTCAATCCCTAACCCATGCTACCTCTGAGTCAATCTGGACTCAAACTCCAGCCTTAGCACTTTTTAGTTCAAGTTACTTCACCTCTCTAAACTCAGTATACATATCCCTAAATGGAGATGATGA